TGGGTTGGAAACCTTTAGCTCAGCAACTGACTGAAATCCCAGTGTGCCTCAGCCCCTCATCGGAGAGGTGGGAATGACGGGCCTGTGCCTTGCAGGCATTCAGCACAGGGTTGGGCACACACGGCTCACACCTATTGGCTGTGACATCAGCCAGGTCCCCATTCAACTTACAGGAGCCCTGGGGCTCAAGGAGCTGCACTGACTGGCCCAGGGGCTCACAGCCGAGAAGAAGCCCACGCTCTCAGCGCCTTTGGCCAGCACTGGACCCAGGACACCGCCCTGGTTTCTGTAAGAGGGTTTCGAGTGCCCAGTCGCCCCCGGAGCAGAGAGCGCTCACAGTGAACCCAGCCACGGGCCGCCCGCACCCCGCTTACCACTCCAGTCGTTCATGAGGACCATCCCAAAAATGTGCTCAGGGGCCTTGGAAATAGGGATCGGCTCTCCGAATTTGTTTCCGGGGCCCACAAAGAAAGCCTGCCGTGGGGACGAGCAGATTAGAATCTGGGGCTGACCTGCTGCCCCAGGTCCCTGCCTGGAGGGCAAAAACCAGGCAGCCAAGGGGACCAGGCAAGGCACTGAATCCATGCACTTCTAAGTCATTTGCTGCAGCCGGGAAGGTGGGGAGCACTCACACACACACACACAGCCCCTCCCCACAGCCCCTGTGCCTCTTGCCGCCTCCCCAATGCTCTGCTCTGCTACCTTCCTCCCTCTCCACATGCACTCTGAGTTTCAAGACGTGACAGCTCCACGAGGCTTGTAAAAAATGACAGTTATCAGGGTTTGCAGTCGTGCCAGGAAAACTCGGAAGGCTGCCTCTACAATGCAGCCAAGAGCCTGATGGGGTGCACCCTACCCCCAATCCATCACCCACAACCTCGGAACAAAAACATCACCGGTACAATGAGCAGGAACCAACAGAACATCTAGACACGACTGGAGGAAAAACTGGGGCAATGACTGTCAACAGCTGTGACATTTGCAAAACCGGAGTCACTGTTTTATTTGTTCCATGACGGCATTTAAACATTGCAAATTTTTCATCAAGATTGAAAAACGACACCCAAGGGCACCAACTCACAGAGAGTGTTAGCACCCTGCGGTCCAGATGATCTGTGCCCCGCCCCCTCAACCCACACCTGTCTGCACACTCGGATTTGCTGCCTTTTCTCCACCAGCCCCACTTATTGCTCAACGGGGACCAGCACAGGGGAGGCACCTGCCTGCAGAGTCCTCCGTTTGCCCAGAGAGGAGATCCTGCCCCAAGCCTGGTCCCTGCGCCCTGCTCTGGGTCCATGTGGCACCGTCACTACGGCAGCAGGAGGCAGCAGGCTCCCTGGGAGCACCTGGCTGGGCCTGTGGGACCACCTGGCTGGACTCACACATTTCCTTCCTCTGGATGGATTTCAGAGAAATCACAGGACGGGGCTGGAGGGAGCTCCTGTCTGCCTCCAACCAACCCAGTGTCCCACTGCCACAGCCCCCCTGGGGGGCCCACACCCTTTCTCCTCCGCCTGCAGTGACTGGACACCCAGAGCTTCCCCGGGCCTCACCCAAACCATGGGGGCTACTATGGAAAGGCCTTCCCTCTGCCTGTCAAGGGCCGGGCTGCACCATCCAGCATCCTGCCGTAACGTTTACGTAGAGCCCGCGCCAATAAAACACTGAGGCCCAGCTTACCATTTCTAACTCTACGTCCAAAAGTTTGGAGGCACCAAACATGGGCGGCTTAGCTGGAAGAACACCAGAGAAAGAGGCTGTTGTCAGCAGCAGGCCAGGGAACCCACTGCCTGGGACGCAGAGCTACGCGGGTGGGGCCTGGGTGTCAGGGCACGTACAGTCATCGGGTCTCATCTGTCCCATGGGCCTGCGGATTGGGGTGCCAGACACCACGACGGAAGAGG